CCCAAAACCATACAAGACAAAAGATACTCACCCGTCCTAAACTACTGTTTCTAAAACAAAAATCAACTATGTGTGCAGAATGTACCCAACAACCTAAACCAATCCAATACACAAGAGTTCACACAAATACAGAAGTGAACTACGAATACCAAAGGGAAAACGAGAGTGGACACAAGTAACAGGGTACAAAAGAACAAAGAGATTGATGCAATACGTCTGGGCAAGGTAATGGCTTAATAAAGGATAACACAAACAAACGAAAGTATAAGGAGACAAACACAAACCAACAAAGCCAAAGCAATACAAAACACGAACGCACGAAGCGAAACGAAGCCGAAGAAAAACCAAAAGCGAAACCGAAGCTAAGCCAAGCGGGACCGAAGTCAAACGAAAGGGCCCTTCCTTCTGAAAACCTCCAAGTTGTATACTGAATAAACTGCACTGTGATTGGCTGAGAAGCTAATTGATAATTGTAACAATGGTGTAATGATGGGCCAAGGGGGAGGAAGAACAATCAAGGTCAGGAAGTGGGGAACATAGCGACAAAATACACATGGACCACACACTGGGACATGACACATTCATTTGGTCAATATTCAGAAATATTGGAAACACATGTTTATGGATGCAGACATGATGCTGAGTTTTTAAACTGGGGATAATAGACATTAAATGAAACATCTGAATTGCATTTGGTTTAAACCTTGTAATATGCACCGTTTCGGATGATGTGAATGAAAATATGCCCTCAATTTTGTCAATATTGAAAAATACTGGAAACACATTTTTATGGAGGCAGACATGATGCTGAGTTTAAAACTGGGGATAATAGACATTAAATGAAAGCTCCGATTCTCTGCTACAAGCTATTGTACAAGCATTTTCTTTTTAAGCTTATAGTATGCACCGTTTGGGAGATAATAATGAAACCAGGCCATGCGTTTTGTCAATATTAAAAACATTTATTTTAGGAAGTGCGAGGCTCTCTGCTTTCAAATGCTCTTGGTTTAAACCTTGTAATATGCACCATTTTGGAGATATTAATGTAATATGCCATCCATTTTGTCAATATTCAAAAACATTGGCCACGCCAATTTTTATGGATGCAGACATGATGCTGAGTTTAAAACTGCTGATAATAGACATTAAATGAAGGTGAACAGCCTCTGGCATGTTAGAACAACGTAGGTAAAGTCAGTCAGCAAGTCAGATCCATAACTTTGGGATAAGGATTGGCTCTGGGTCGGTCAGGCTGGGTTGGGAAGCGGGGCTGGGCGCGAGTAATGGCTGGACGAGGCGCCGTGTGCCGTTGCCACATTCGTGCGCCCCAGTCGGAGCCCTCCCTCGCCTTCTCGCGGGAAGGCCGGGGTGCCGGGGGGTCAAGCCATCGTCCACGGCAGCGAATCTGGACACGGCGCTGGGCCCAGAGGGGGGAGGGGAAGGCCGGCGAGGGGTCTCGGCCAGTGTTTAGCAGCTGGCTTAGAACTGGTGAGGACCAGGGGAATTCAACTGTTTAATTAAAACAAAGCATCCTGAAGGCCCATGGTGGGTGTCAACACGATGCGATTTCTGCCCAGTGCTCTGAATGTCAAAGTGAAGAAATTAAATGAAGCGGGAGTAACCCTAAATGGCGGGAGTAACTATGACTCTCTTAACTCCCTTGGGTAAGGAGTGGAGACTTAGTGACCTCTACCTCCATGTGGTTCCGCTGGTAACTCCACTGCTCTGCTTGAGTACGTGGAGGTCAAATGAGGTCTAAATGATCTCACCCCTCCTGTGGGCCCGCCAACCCACTAGGTAGTACCCATGGCGAAACCTCAAAATGGAGAGTAATGTTAATGAAGAACCATACCGGATGACATGTCGTCCAGACAAATAAGGTGCCCTGGAAGGACTTCGGGTTGGGTCCTGTTCCAGTAAATACCTACAGGACCCCAGTAGTTAAGAGTTATCAGCAGGCTCTCTGGAAGAGAGCGACACGGGCTGGACTATACAGAAAAAACACTCCTGGCTGGCTTTAAACAGTACCTTATCCAGGACCTGGGTGTGGTAAACTGCTCTGAGGAGGTAGTGTCACGCAGGGGCTGACTGCAGAGGATAGGGATGCAATGCGGTGCCCTAGGTAGGGTTGGCGCTAGATGTAGGTGTTGTCGAAGTAAACAGGCAGGGGTCCGAGTCCAGGAAGGCGTAGTAGTGGCTTAGGCACAGAATAGGTAGGTGAAGGCGTAGTCGAGGAGACTGGCAGGGGTCGGAGTCAGGGAAGGGGTAGAAGAGGTGTCGGAGTGGATTCGGAAGGCGGAGGCGTAATCGAAAAGACAGGCAGGGGTCACGATCCGAGAGAGCGTTCTAGAGGCGAAGGTACAAAATCGAGTGGCAAAGAGGTAGTTGGAAAAGCAGGGTCGAGGTCCAGGGGAGAATTCGTAGTAAGGCGAAAGCGTAGATAGCAGGTAAGCTCCGGGAGAGAATCTCAATCGTGAGCAATGATCTGGTGAGGGTTTAAGTAGAGGACTGATTGACGTGTGCACGTTTGGTACGTGGAGAGCTCGTGGGAATACGGGAGCGTTTGCTTGCATGAGGGAGATTCGTGACAGGTAGGTATTTAAAACTGGGCAGAGACTCACAAAGTACATATTTTAAGTCATTAGCACAAAATTCACCCATCTGAGATTGTGCCAGCCCTAAAATAAACCCTAAAAACTTTATTTTAAATAGGCAACGTTTCCAGATTCCTATTTTTTATGGATCCGTCTGAAACATTCTTGATGTTTGTGAAGGACGTTCCCAAAACAAGCAATTTTTTTACCAACTGAGGATGACTGGACTGTCTCACCAAACCATTGCTAATTACATCAAAAACATCAACCGGTTCCTGTGCTACATCCTGAATGCCACCAACCTAAGACAGGAGGATCCAAGCCTAGCTAACGTCATCATCATCTTCCAGAGCATCCTAAAGGACATTCAGCAAAAAAACAGCAAGGATGTCTCACAGGAAGTCATCAGAAAGAGATATTTTCCATTTAGAACTCTGATTCCAGTTGGTTTCTGGTTCCAGTACATGACAGGAATTGATGTTGATGGTACTACTCCTTCTGCCACAGATACAGACAGCTGCAGAGTCCTGGGCCGAGCGCCAGTGACTGCTGGAAGGTGCTGAGGGCTGCAAAGAGAGATGTGGAGCGGAACTGGAGAAGACGCACACCTCTGAAGACGTCACCATGCCTGAGCAGCTTCTTGTGCTGTATTACCTGCAGGCCATTATTCAGCTGAAGCACCTGCATCACCTAGGGGTGATAAAGAATATAACAGTAAGAATGACAGTCTTGCATATTTCAGTTGTTTGGTCAAATTCGAACAATGACACAATGATCTGACGTTTATAAAGAGACAGAATAACAGTGCTGGTCAGGGCTCATCACTGTCATTTAGGTGGCGCTCCTGTTACAGAACTTAGAGCCTTTACAGGAAGACTGGACTGGAGGGAGCGGTGAGGGAGAAGATCCTCCCAGCTCTGTGTTCAGTCAAGCAGATTGAACGCACTGGAGAGCGGAAGTGTGAGAGTGGAATTTGATCTCCACCCCAACTTCTCTTCAATAACTCCATATGGAACAAGAGTTAATGAACGGCAAACATCAGGTTCAAACAGCCACAGCAGCACTAAATCGTAATGGTTCTTGATGACACCTCCTCATGATATATGTAAGCCCCTTCTCTCCTTCACATTCATCTTTTGCACCTCTCTTCCACACCATCCCCTACTTGTGAGTCCTCATTGAGATCCCAGCCGCTTCGTCCTACAGAAGCTTAGCACCCAGCCAAGTGGGTCAGACTGACTGACTGAAATACTCAACACTCTCCATACACTTCATTACTGGGTGCAGCTGTTGCTACTGTAAAATCATCATTGGCAGATATTATTATTAGATATTATTTATTGAATTGCTTGTGATTTCAAGTCCAGGAATGGATGCAGAGAAATAATTTTGTGTCACAAAGAGGACAAAAACTGGTGATAATAGCAGTGACAAAGCACACAACCTCCTCACAGCTGCTGGCATGCTTTGCCTGAATGAAGAAGAGGAACATGTAAGTCTAGTTACGCTGATATACTCTCTCCAGTTCATTGCCATCATCTGTCTTCGGCATTCAACAATAGTTGAAAAGTACAATAAATGCATTTTGTCTGTTTTTTTCAGATGTTTCACATTCACTAGACTACACTGTACTGCCACTGATAGCATCTGTGGAACAGAGACTGAAATGTTTTTCATTTCTTCCGTGGGGGAGCCAATTTAAAATCCTTCCAATGACTTGCGAAGACTGCATGAGAAGTAAACCATATCACAAAGATGTTTTAATGTATTAATCAAACTGTCTGTGGCTTGGAAACAATCATACACTGTGTGTATGTGTTTGTTTTGTAGATATCATCTTCCATTCACCACCAGCCAGGCTGCCAGGAGGGCATTTTACACGGCCACAAAGAGGCTCACAGATGCACAGAACAGCATTGTGGCGGATTATCTGGCCCACTCAGATGGTACTGCAGAGAAACACTAGAGGATGCTGACATATGGCAACATCTGCTCAGCCATTAAAGTCATTGAAGGTGTTGCAGAGGAGGGATCTCAGTAAGTTTCACCATGTTCTGAATAAATGACAAAATAATGTGTCAAAAACAGCAATTACTTCATGCTTTTGAAACATCAAGAGAGCAATCGCCACTCAGTGCTGCAGTATGCACATTTGCTGTATAACTGGAAGAGAAAACACCACTTTCAGTTCTTTTCAGCCAACGTGTTACAGAGATTATTGTGATCTAATATTCGCTTTTACATCAGATCAGCACCAACATCCGCAATGGTAGCTGCAGGATCTGGAAATCCGAAGATGGATGATGCCACAGCCTTCCAGGAGCTGACACAGGAGTTTCCAGTGTCGTTAGATGGGCAGCTTCCCAGAAAGAAAGAGCGCCTGAGACTGACTAGAAGTCATGACTGACACAGTTACGACAGGTGGAGATCAGATCAGAGGAAGATGAGACTGCAGAACATTATTGGTAAGTTTACATATCACTTATTTTCACAGAGAAACAGACAAAGTGACCCGCTATTTTCAAAGCATTGGCTGGACTGCAAATACACCAACAGCGTCTGAGGTGCTTGAGAAGTGGAAGCCAAACACAGATGCACAACCAAATGAAAGGCAAATTAAAAAGATGGAAAGAGTCAAACCTGGAGAGTCCTGAGTATCACTGACGATCCAGTGAAGTGGAAGAAGGTTGTGACTTCCAGGCATTTCCAGAAAGAAGAGGTGGTGTGTGATTACCATGGCGAGGTCATCGCAAAGACACCTGCAGAAGCCCTAAAAGCACATATGGCAGAGGGAGAGATGAGATGTCTGTTCTTTTTTGATGGACCTACACAAAAAATGTGCATTCATGTGAAGAACATTGCACCTGTCACACGGATAAGGAGATGATCGGAAGGCGGATAAATTCCTCTAAGAAAAAAGACAACATCGGGGCTGTCAGAAAGTCATTCATAATCAACGGACAGCCCGTCATGACAATTCTGTTTATAGCGAAGAGGGACATTGCTGAGAGAGAAGAGCTCCTCTTTGATTACAGAGTTTCAAGGATATCATTTCAGGGTGAAGGACAGTCTCTGGAGTGGTTGGATAACTGACCAGTTCCAGAAAATACTTTGAACATACCTGTATATGTTGAACATATTTTCTTTCAACTATTAAAGATAGTGTCTTCTTGTGACTTGAAATCCATCTCAGTATTGCTTGTGTCATTGTTATGAAGATGACATGTCTCGTTCTCCAACAACTAGGACACCAGGAGGGGATAAGAGACAGCAGAAAAGTAGATAAATTAAGCTCAGAAGAGCATAGAGGCTGATTAGCCACCCCACTCAAATATTCCCAAGACAAAACACTACGTGACATCTGCCCAACTCTTGTTCTTATTGAATGTTTTGGAATTAAGAGGTCTAATTGTCACCACTTTTGAAAAAAGATGAGCCTAGATAACAATTTCTTAATCCTTTTAGTGAAGATTTCTGACAAGGCTAAGGATAGGAGATATTTCAAAACCTCGTTAAGAAGTTAGAGGGGGTTATCAGAATACAAAAGGTATATATTCAATCAGTTACGAAGAGTTACATATATCAAGAGGACATACGTTCAGTATATCATTCATTTAGACCGTTTTGTAAATGAACTTGGTTATAACTTCTACACTAGATACTCAAAACAAGTACATAACTCTTAGGAATTAAATTGATATCAACTGGTTGGGATAACAATTGGATTTTCGAGCTGTAATGCAGTGAAGTTGAATACTCATCTAATTTCTTGGGATTCAGATCTCCTGTGGGCTCTCTGGCTCCGTGCCAAGCTGTGCTGTGCGGCTTGCGATGGTGCGCTGCTGATGCTCTCTGAAGACTCGCTAGTTAGAGTTGGCTTTAACTAGCAAAGTTTGTGCACAGGAGAAAAGATAACTGTGGGTCTCAGCAGGTCAGGAAGAAGACTGGTTCGTTCCCGATGAAGCGCTAGTTCTGAATAGTGATTCAGCTGTCCACAGTTCCGACCTGTTCACGAGGCTTGCTGCTGGTTTTAACCTCAGGTGGATCCTCTGGTTACTCGTGGCAACCTCCACTCTAGACTCTTAGAACAAAGGAAAGTTCTGGCACTCGGACACACTGGCCGTTCCGTGGT